CTGTCTTGTATCAACGAAAAAAATTATAATAATCATAATCGAGTCATATTTTATTTAATCATAATTTAGTCTTTTCCGATTTTCTATTCAAGGGGATTATTTGCCTAATTTCATAGTATAAGGGGGTCATGTGCAAAATGTCAAAATCACAAGGAGGTTATGTGCCTAATTTCATACCATAAAAGGGGTCATGTGAAAAATGTCAAAACCACAAAGAGGTTATGTGCCTAATTTCATACCATAAGGGGTCATATGCAAAATGTCCGAACCACAAGGGGTTCGAATATGACTATTGTAGAATATAATTGTAGTCATATTCGAATATGTTTTATCTTCTCGTTTCAAGTTGACTTGTAATAACAAGATTCAAATTGTAATTTTTAGTGTGGATGTTGATTCGATTGTTTTCGTAAATAATATGCCATCTTCGTTGTTTTATATAATTTGATAAACATACATGATTGTACAACACTATATAATCAGAATTTTTAAATTGAAAGTGTAAAAAACTGCAATATAAAGAAATAATATGACTACACTTTATATAGTCACATATAGTCATATTAGACTATTGTCATATTCGGCGTAGTAAACCAATTGAGAAAACAGAATTCAATTTTTTTTTTGTTTAAAAAGAATACTTTTATTAAAAAAATATTAAAAAATAAAAAAAGAACTAAATAAAATGCTAAATAAAGTCCGAAAATAATAAATAATAAAAAATAAAAAATTCATATATTTTTTTTTGATTTAGTAGCAGATTTTTAGGAATTATGTGACACGTGTTGTTAGGGAAAGAGAGAAAAAATGAATAATTTGGACAAAATGTGCTAATTGACATAAGGGTAGTATTAGGAATAAAATATGTAGGGGGTTATTACAAAGAAATATTTATGGGGTGGACATATCACCATTTCTTAGCGATATGAAGAACTTATTGCTAATGACCCCTATACTAAATTATATAGACCGATGAGGGGATATCTCAAATAATCACATTAAATTAATCTTAGATGGTGAATAAGAAATGAATAGATAACTAGGACGTATGTATCTTTTTTAGAGGGTAAACTTGAACGTATAAGATATCAATATTCCTTATATATCAATAATATTCAAGGGAAATTTGACAAAACACCCCCATGACACGAGTGTCATTACAATGATTCCAAATATTTTAATTTATATTTTTAGGAAAAATTCAAAACAACTTTAATTAATTAAAAACACTTAATTATCATCATTATATCCCAAACTAAGAAATAAGGTATATTACCCGCATGAGTGTAACTCAATTGGTTTCGAGGTTGGTAAGTTGATACAATGTCCTAGGATCGAATCGTGGCAGCCGCAGTGTGGGAATTTCAACTCCAATTATGGTTGGTTCCTTGTGAGCACCAAGTCCGGGTCTGCTACCCTAACGGGCCGTTGAGTTACCATGATTTACATTTCTCCATCAAATACTTATTGGGCCAAGGGATGGGGCCCTGGGGCGAGGGATTTCACCTTTTTAGTACAAGAAATAAGGTATATTTTCATATATATCTTAAATAACACGTTCTTAACTAATTCCAGCCCATTGACTGCAGATTTCCATTTTGGTGGAGTTCTAATCCTCCGAATTTTAATTACATCTCTCTCTCTCTCTCTCTCTCTCTCTCTCTCTCTCTCTCTCTCTCTCTCTCTCTCTCTCTCTCACACACACACACACAAACAAAAAAGAAAAGAAAAAGGAAGGGGAACAAACACACACACCGCCGAGCCTCTCTTTTCTCCCCGCCGAAAATACACGTGTGGTCCTATTGCGGGGAAGAGTTCTTTTGGCCAGGCCCTCGCAGGACACGTGAGGCAGATTTAACAGCTGCCCGCGGTGGCTCAATTAATGAGCCCGATCCAGCGGGAGAACGAAGATCGGTTCACTACATATTACCTAAATATATGATTTTGTCCTCTTAATTATGAGGTAAGAAATTGGTAATAACCATTATTTTTCCTAGATAATTTGTAATATTGTATGAAGGATATTGGTGTGATATTTGATTTTTATATTATTTTATGCATTTAAGAATCCAATTTCCAATATTTTGGTAATTTATATGAGAGTATCAATATTATTTTATGGATCAAATTTTAAGGACGCAATGTAATTTATTTCAAAATATAATGATAAATAGAGGAAATATTTCCCCTTAAATTTATCTTCAGATGTGTTTCCAATATAATTGTTTCCTCTATTTACCATTAACTGTTTACATGATTATATTATTCTCTATAATTTCGAGCATCAAAAACATCTGAAGAAATTTTTAAATTTATTTGTCTTTAATATTCGATATTGAGTATAATAGAAAAAAATAATTTTTGTCCTCTATTTATCATTAACTGTTTACATGATTATATTAATTCTCTATAATTTCGAGCCTCAAACACATATGAAGAAAATTTTAAATTTATTTGTCTTTAATATTCGATATTGAGTATAATTAAATTTTTTACCTCACTTTCAACCGTATTATCCTCCAAAACTCATAATCATAAGTTTAAAACGGACAAGCGGTTAAATAGCTAAGAACGGATGCCACTCACCAAAAGTGGATAATTTTAATAAAATTGGAAAGTTGTGATATGACTGAAGAGGTGATTGATTCTTTCATGGGTCATTAGCAATAAACCCCTCATATAGATAATAAATGGTGATATGTCCAACTCTTAAATCTTTCTTTGTGATAACCCCCTATAATTTGTATTTCCAATTCTACCCTTATATCAATTAGCATAATTAGTCTCAATTATTCTTTTTTTCTCTCTTTCCATAACAATAATCTAATTCCTAAAAATCTACTTCCAAATTTCTAAAAATTTGCTACCAAATCAAAAAATATGATTTATTTTTTTATTTTATTTTCTGATTTTTTTTTAATAAAAAATATTTTTTTTTAATTTTTTAAACAAAAAATTGAAATTTTTTTTCTCGACATATTTACAACTCCGAATATGACTATTATGTGACTACGCTGTGTATAACAGTGTAATTAACATATTGTAGAAGCATAATTATTAATATAACAGTAAGAATATGACTATTATGTGAATGTGACTGTGCTTTGTAAAACATTATAATTAACAGACAGTAGAAGCCTGAATATGACTATTATGTGACTACAATTTGTATAACAAATTGAACATGATTAACAGTAAGAATATGACTATTATGTGAATGTGACTGTGCTTTGTAAAACATTATAATTATCAGACAGTAGAAGCATAAATATGACTATTATGTGACTACAGACTGAACATGACAGTGGGAATATGACTATTATGAAAATAGACTGAACATGACAGTGGGAATATAACTGACCGAACCTTCTTTCTCTCATTCTTGTTATGTACAATAAATTCAACAATGATTTTAGAAGCTCTAGAATGCACAACATTTCTTCAAAATACTTAACAATTTGAAACTTTTTACGACACAAGCAACAAATTTGAATCATAAAACATTAAAACTGTTACGCGATCATCACTCTAAAAATGTGCAGTAGAAATAAAACTCAACTACAACACATGCCCAATTTCTCAACTTTTTTCATACAGAAACATCCATAGGTATAGCAAAACAAACGACCGATGTTAATCAGCTTCTCTAATGCTATAATAGAATATATTTAAAAAAACAATTATTTCAATTGAGTGAAAACTTACACTGACTAAACTTGAATTTATAAAGCAAAATCGAAGAATCCAAAACAAAAGAAAGAAAAAAAAAATTGTTCCAACAATATCCCCACACATGATTTCATATTGCACAAATAACCTAAAAAATCGAAAGGACGGCAAAATACATAATCAACAAGGGGGGGAAATTACATCAATAGAGAATAGAAACGGAAAATTACCCGCTTCAATTCTTTTTTGCGGATCTCTTTGCGGTAGGAATCGGTAGGGTTCATCGTTTTGCCTCGCTTCGTCGTCTTCACCATTGTGACTGCTTTTCAATAATCTGTAAACCGAGTTTTCTATCCTCAATCGTCGTTCTCCGTCGAGGAAGATATCCCAAATGGGTGTCGTCGATAAATAAAACCTCGCTGCGAATTCGATTTTGAGTGTTTTTGCAGAGGATTAAGCAAAATACGGAGACGAGAATTTGATTAGAAATAGTGATTTGGGTTCGGGTCGGGTTTTCATCTAAACGGGTAAAGCATGAAAAGAGAGTTAAACGTTTTGCAGAAGAATGAAAAAAAAATTTGCAGAAGAAGGAAAAGAAAAAAGTAAAAAAAAAAAAAAAAAAAAAAAAGAATACAAATTATGAAAGACAGAGAGAGTTTTACCGTGAGAGGGAGAATGAATCGTGAGAGGGGTATGCAGAGTAGGGAATATAATTAAACTCTAACACATAGCACTGCGAGAAAAAATGGTTTTAGGGACGATTTGTTATGGTTGCTAAAAGCAAGATAATGGTCGCTGAAACTTATAACGACCAAATTAGGCTTGGTCACTTGTGGTCACAACAGGGTGGCTACTAAAAGTTTTAGTGACCAACAAATCAGTTGGATGCTAAAGACATAGATCTAGCGACCATTCAATAATGGTCATTAAATATGTAATTATCAGCGACAATTTTTTTACTCGCTAATGTTAAAATTTATGGTCACTATAATATTAATATGGTTGCTATAGGTATACATAGAGTAACCACATATTTTTGGTTGATAAATGATATTCTTTTAACAACCGAGTACGTGGTTACAATAGATTTTATATGGTCACAAACCTAACATATTTTAGTGACCACGTTGCGACCAATAAATTCGTTGCTCAATATAATAATTTAACTACAAGAATAGTTGGTTGCAATAAATTTTAATTTGTCACAAATATACCCCATTTTTTTGCATATAATAACCAAAAATAACAATTAATAATTCTTATTGGCAAAACAATCAAATAATGAACGAAAAACAATTGTTTATTGCTACTAATGACAAAAACCAAATAATAATTGTAAGGAAAAAAAATTGAATTGATAGCTGGTTACTACATATTAGCACCTAACTAATTAATTGTTGACAAGTGAATTAAATCAGTGATCAATCTATATACAGTAGCAACCAAAGAAACCAAACACTGCCTCGCCGATTAAATTGAACTTAAAACCGCTGACAACATTCACATGTGGAACTTGATTGAAGTAATATCATTAGCTTCAACTGCCTCTGCCTCTCTACGGGTGCCTGAAATTGGGTGCCTGGAAATTGGATGCCACAGAGAATCAAAAGATATACATGCAACTGTTTTCCCAATGTAGTGATCATATAAGCAACAAAAGCAACAAGGAAAATCTTATGTAATGAATTGATTTACCTTATCAGTAGAGCCACCAACTAAACTTTAGCATCAACTGCAAATTTGGCATTTATAAGTTATAACCTACATAAGAGATGGAAACAGGGATTCAAGTTTATGAGAAACCAAGTCCAATGAATTTATCATAAGGAAACATGAAATCAAATATGCATATGATGCACCAGTTTACCTTGTTTAAATGACCGCTGAGAGAAGTCACTACCTGACCTTGTGGAATGTAAAACAATACAACTTGTCAATCATATCTAGCAATGGCAAGCAATTATATATACTGACTTAATTATAGAAGAGTAATAAAATTACTAGCATAAATGTAAACTTCGATTTTTCAGCTGTATGTAAGATATAAACACATACCTTTTGTATGTCAATTTCTGTTATAGGGTTGAAAATAAACTTGAATTGAACAACCCTATGCATTTAATAGTATTTTTTGGATTACCAAGAGTAAAGTTCAAAACAAAAGAATTGTGTTGTTTCTCATGTTATCCTGTTCTTACGGAGTAACTATTCAAGGCATCTCCTATTAATCAAGTGCAAGACAAGAGAATTAGCGGACACTTGAGAGTGGATAACCACTTGAGCCTCATGACTCCACACTTTCTCATCAATTAAGAATTCAATTTTCAGTCATTTGTAATGATAAAATGGGTATAAATATAGAGAACTTACATTATTTCATAATTTCTGATTAGAAGATTTGGGATTTTCATATACCTGAGAACTCATGAAGAATTTGTGCTTTAGTGGGCTGCAACAAGGCCAACCGGGGCTCGAGAGGCGACGACCGTTTCCCCCTTTGAACAGAGCATAAAACTCAATTAAAAAAGGCAAATTTTAGAACATCCTTAAACTTATCCATGCAATCTACGACTTTTAAGAAGAAACTGTTCTCAAGTTCTAATTCCAAACCCCCCAAATTCTGTTCCGAAAACAGGTGCGGCAGAAGGTTTATTATTTTGGAAATTTCACCATACAACTGTCGAATTAAAATTGGTTTTTTACAATTGACTAAATTTGGGGAAAATTTTATATTTCTATAATATCTAATATGTTCTACAACTTTTGTGAAGAAACAATTTAGATTGGGATTTGGGTTATGAGAAAAGTCTTTAAAGTCAATTGGGTTTAATTCAAAATATTTTCTAAATGAAGGGGGTATTGCATATTTCCCCTTCTTTCATTTTCCTATTTCTTATTTTTCTGTTTTTTTGAATAAAAAAACTATTTTTTTTCCAACACATCATATTATTTATATTTCACGTGTCCTGGAAAATATGAATAACACAATACTTTATGAATCAATAACGTAACATATAAACATTTGAACAATAAAATAAATATACATTCTCAAAAATAATTACAAAATTAAGTTTTAATAATAAAATATAATAAATCAATAACATAACATACAAACATTTGAACACGGACATTTTTTTCCGAATATGTTACTGAAAAAATTGATTCTGAAATATCATATTATTTGCTAAATTGAGTAGGAATTCTCATAAAATAAAAGACCGTGTAACATAATTAAGTTGATGGAGTTGGGGTTAATATGCAATTTCAGGAGTTGCCTTTGGGAGTTTGCTGGATGAGTAATCGGAGTTACATGTTTACCTCCACCAATGGGCACTTTTGCAATTTTAATAGTTCTAGCTTTATAGTTTGTCATTTTTACCCCACTTTGGGGCTTTTTTGTAATAGCTTCGATAGGGTAGCTTCTGATTTTTTATTACCATTGTAGGGACACTCTTTTTGCTTGTGTAGGCCCACAAAGTTTTAACGAGGCCTCATCTTTTATCATTATGGAATAATAAATTTTTTTGGCACAAAAAAAAATAACGAAAACAATTTTTATTTGAAAAAAAGGACATAAAGAAAAAGGAAAAAATGAAAAAGAGAAAATAATAATAATAATAATTCATGCCAACTCTAAGAGAGAAAAACTCATTGCATTAAAATATATTTAGTCTATTTCAGTTTCCACGTTCCTAATGAAGACCCATCACAAATATATGTTCTTGGTGATTAATGATGATTAATGATATGCTGTTCTCCTAACATAATGTCGATTGAAAAAAAATAGAGGTCATTACAAATAAGTCCATCAATGGGTACTTGTTGAGTGTAGATATTACACTCAATACGTTTACTTTATGTGGATCTTTTGTTTAGATTTAATTATATTTGTGTTTTAATTGATTGATTTTGTGTTTTATAGGTGAAAAACGAGAATTAGGTGTGCATGAAGGAAAAAAGATCAAAAAGAAAGGAAAAAGTTGCAAATAATGAAACAAATCAAATTGGAAGAAAAAATCTCGCCATAGCTTTGACAGTGTCCACCATTTCGAGGATATGTCTCTCATACTAACTCCGAATTAGGTGATTTTGACGGCATTGAAAAGCTAATTTCAAGGGCTACAATTCTTATTTACACAACATTCCAAAATTCGGACTCCAACATGGCGCAAATCGACGAACAAATCCTGATGGGGGAAAGTGGCGGAAATTGATTCCTATTAGGTTTCCACTACTTCCTTATCAAGAAAAGCCTATAAAAGCAACAATTCTCTACACCATAAGCACGAAATTTTACACCACATAACACGAAGAACGAAGATCAACGAAGACTCAAGCATAGTTTTTCTTATTTCTTTTATTTTTATTTTGTTTATCATAAGAATTACGAGTAGCTAAGCTTTTAATCAAGGATTTTATTTGAACCCTATGTGGGGATGGTGAACCCGTTTTCTTGAGATTATGCAATTATGATTTTATGATTATTTCTTCTACTTGTTATGATTGTTAGTGCATGAACTTGATCAATTTATGTGCTTTATCTGTGATTATTGGGATTGACTCGACAGAGCTATTTTGTTAATTAGACGGTAAGTATAAGAACCTTCGAGTAGTTTTCACCGGATGAGTGTGTCAATTGCATGTGGTGTCGTAGACATACAGATATCACCTTAGGTAGCCAATTATGAGACTTGTTAGTTAATGCTTTATTCATAATTTGTTTGCATAGACATATAGCGAACCGTTTATGAATAATAGACTCATAATACACGCGACAGCGGGTTATGAGTAAATTAGTGTCTCGGGTTAATAATCATACATCATATATTTCATAATTGAGGGGTTTTGGGTGAGCAATTCTTGCATAGGGGGAAGATAAAATCCTAGGTCCGTTTTTATATTACGATTTTCTCGTGTTTAATTGCTTTCTTAATTAGTTTAATTGTTTGATTGATTAATTTGACAAACTTGCGTACGCTGGATAAAAATCATAATTGTTAAAATTTGGTACTTAAGATTAGGTAATTTGCGTATTCCCTGTGGGATCGACATCCGACTCTCACGAGTCCACTTTACTACTTGTTTGCGATACGTGCACTTGCGTGTTGGTATTTAGCACCCAACAGTACTTATTCATAAAGAGATCCGGACAAAAAACTCCTTTACAAATAAGTCCACACATGGTCCAAATTTTTGTAAAAGACTAAAATAGCCCTCATACTTTAATATGCTCAAATTTCAGCCTTAATTTAATTTAACCTCAACTTGAACCCAAATTTCAAAAATTATTCAATTTTGACCCAAAACTTTATTGCCAACAAAAAAATTTTTGCCGCCAGATTGCCGGTCAACACCGGTCTCCGGCTTTGACTTTTCGATTTTTTTTTCTTCCAGATTTTTTCGCTGATCTTCAGCGTTGACTTTTTTTTTTTTCCTTTCTGTAACATTTTTTTTCATTTAAACAACAATATTGTTGTGATTGACAGTAATATTAACTATATTATTGTTAAACACAGTAAAATTAACTAAACGACAGTTTAACACAGTAATATTGCTATATTAATCTCTAGCACAGTAATATTAACACAACAAAACTCATTATTATTGTGTAATAGAGTAATATTGCTATGTTGACCGTTCAACAAATGTAAACATAATAAAAAGTCAAAAGAATTTGGGGGTAATTTTGGTATATATAAAAGAGTTTTCCTTATTTGCAAGTAAGTTTGAATGAGGTAGATTTATTTGCAAGAGAAAAAATTTGAATGTCTCTTTTTTAATTAAGTGCTCTTGTCATGGGCTTATTTGCCATTTACCCTACTTTTTTACTTGTTTCTATATACATATTTAAAAAATGGACAATTAGCTATATGTAACTCTCTATTAGATATTACTAGCATTATTCCAGCACCGGATATTATTTAAATAGTGAAAAAAATAATCAATGTAATACATAATGAGAAAATATAGTACACTAATATAATAAAATTAAAAAATGTAGTATTATTCATATTTTATATAACATTAGTTTTTTTGAATCTTACATATTAAGATTTATAATCCAAATAAATTTACTAAGATTTAACAAATCGAATTTCTAGCTTTATCAGTTAAGATTTGAGATACATCGATGAAAAATAGGAGATTAATTATTGTTAAAAATTATAATAAGAAATTAGTAGAGAAAAATATTAAAAATAAATAGTTACATAAATACCGTTAAGGTTTTTTAGGGTTACCCAACGTTTCTTTCTTTTATATATAAGATATAAGATGTGAATAAAATTTGCATTTATTAATAAATTAATTGTAGTTACGTTGTTGTAGCAAAAATACACTTGACAACAGATGAAATAAATAAATCCACAAAATAGTTGTCCATATTGTAGGAATTATAAATCCCTCAATTTTCTTCCCAAAAATCAACTAAATTAATTATCCGTCAATTCTCTCCCTAAAATATTTGTTCTTCTGCTTCCATAAATCTTTGCAAATTACTAACCACGTTTACGGATTTGCAGTTTGCCTTCCATTACAAGAAGCGTCAAATCATTTGCTAGATCTGTATCTATGTTTTGTTGTTGGATATGTACATTATCTTGTACCTACATCACCAGAGAACACTAGTCATAAAAGTTGTGCAAAATTGTAAAGACATTGGTAAGTAACATTCTCGCATTTATATATCCATATATTTTTAGAAATTTTGATAATAATTTAATCGTCAATTTTTATGAGTTT